CTAAAAAATGTAACTGACCTGTAAGTTGGTCTATTAAGAATTCAGGAACCGGAACAAATTCTTTCTCACCAAGAACGTCAAAATCAATTGGGTCGGACTCTCTATTGGGTACTGGATGGTTTTCTTCTAAAATTGAGGGTGGCCCTTTTTAAAAATAGAAATATAATTAAGGTATGAACCATACGAATGATTTGATTAATTAATGTTTGTGTTGTCCAGAATTCGATGCACCCGATACATGGAATGGTACAAGAACTGCGGGATCTGAGAATTTTTAATAGAATGAAGCGAACACTTTGCGGTTTGGAGCCACTACTCGATAGAAGTTGAATTTTTCGCTGTTCACGGGAGCGATGAAAACAGGATGCCAACGGAATCGCATCACAATTTCCATCTTTAAGTTGGACAGCAACAACTTCCTCTTCATTTCTCCCAGTCATATCTATCAAGATAGAGGCCTAGAGCATAAAGCGACATATTAATACCCGAAGGTTAGAGAATAAATCGAGAGCCCGTTTGGCTTGGATATGATCTTTTGAAAGCTCGTTGCCGTCAGAAAAGTAATGCCCAGGAATAAGATGAAGGGAAAAAAGTTCGAGTGAATGTCGCTTATAGTAAGGCTGAATAACAATAAAATCCAAAATGACTGCATGTGGAAACGAGAATAGCACACAGACGGGTGGCCGAGTGATTGAACTGCAGAGCATGGCTCTTCCGTCTGAAATATTTGTGCATTTAGCTAATAGATTGCTTGGATCATGACCATGGATAGTTTCTTTGTCACAAAACACGAAAGTACCGAACTCCCTTGTGCACACATTATACATAAACGGCGGTAAAGGTCGACAGAAATGCTAAAAAGGACGTAATGAAAGTAAATGAATATTAATAAGTTAAAGGAGACTTTAGAGAATATATTATAATTGTGAATTAACCTCATTGAAATATTTGTTAAGGCTATACTTAAGATAGAGGTTAGGAAAGATAAGCAGGTTAAATATTTAGCTAGTTCATTGGCTGAATACATACTTATTCTTTCAACAAATTGTATATATGAAATTTATTAATGCTCTAAAACAGGTGAGCATTACAAAGAAAAGGCAGATAAGAAAATATAAGTGAAAATCCTGGAGTGAGTAATGGGTGGGACAAATAAAAATGAGGGACCACAATACTCAGCAAAAAGCTCCAGTAATCGAGATGTTTATCTTTTTCAAATTCGACGAAGCCGCATGATGATCTTATTATAATTTAATTTTTCGTTAAGAAGGGGGAAATTATGGAGAAATAGAATTACGTAATCACAATGAATATAGAAGAGAATAGGCCTTTACCTTTATTTGATGTGAAGGACTTTGACTTTTAGTAGACTCTTAAGAAACGGCTGTTTCAAAAGAACTAACATGCAGGAATAAGCCTTAACTTCCAGCCTCACCATACTTACGAAGTGAATATTAGAATACTAAGAAGTATGGTTATAATAGGGATACGAATCCTGATTCTGAGTTCTGGGAAGATAAACTGAAATACACCAATATATGTCTTAGAAAGCAGATAACCAGAAAATGCAATACAGTGCAACATACATATCGTGATGAGCAGATGACAATATGGTAATTATGACAGGAAAGAAAAACGATTGAAATGCCTATCCTCCTGCAAGCTACTTCAGAAGCTGCGGCCGCTACCACAGAAATGGAACATTTTTACAATCCAGAAGAAAAGGTTAACTATCTTCCACAGCTTGTCCACACAACGTGAAGAAGTCAACAAAATTGAGTGCTCCGGAGTTTACTCTATAAACTGCAAGGATTGCAAACACAAGTACTTAGGAGAGACTGGAATGACAATCAGCGCAAATATCAAAGAGCAAGAGCAACTCTGTAGGAAAATGGATACATAAAGGTCGGAGATAGCTAAACAGATTGCCTTTACCTGACATACAATTGTCTGTCATGGGCATCCTTTTTAAAGGAAAACTAATTAACAGGAGATTAGAAA